TCCCTTCTACTCAAGTCTCTAAGGAAGTAAGGCTTATACTTTGTTATTATTTCTTTTCTTTTCTTTTTCTTTTTCTTTTTTTTTAGGGCTTATTCTTTCATACTCAGCATGCTCTGACGACTCAAAAAGATTAGTTTTTGTTCTTTTCAGCTCCTGTAAGAAATTTATAAATTCGTACTTCTAAAAGATTAATAGTTAAGGGCAATAATTATCTTTTTCTATTTCTTTCTTTTATTTATAGATTTTAGAGAGAAAGGAAAGGAGAGAGAGAGAAAGAAAAAGAAAGAGAGAGAGAGAGAGAGATCAATTTGTTATTCTACTTTTTTATGTATTCGTTGGTTGATTCTTGTATGTACCCTGACCGGGGATCGAACCTGCAACCTTGGTATATCGGGACAATCCTCTAACCAACTGAGCTACCTGGCCAGGGCCCAATTTTTTTCTTAAAGAAGATGCTAAGACATTCAGTAATGTCAGCCATATGAGATCATTGAAAACCTGCCCTAGTTTAAAACCTTTTATGGTTCTTCAATCGTCGACATTCAAGTTCCACACACGAGTTGCATAAACGCATGTTCAGTAATGGAGAGACTGAATGGAAGAGTGAGAGATGGTCATTAACAAAATCCAGGGGACACTGAAATAATCTAAGTCAAGCCATTTTTCTTATTCCTTTTCATCGTTCTATGCCAGTAGAACCTTTATGAACAATGGATCAAATCCCCTTTTCTCCTTCATCCTCATTAGAATGTTCTCCAACACATTCTATTTTCTAGAACCATCGCCCCCTCCCTCCCCAGGCTCTTTAATCTGCGATTGTCAGAAAGCGTGTACACTACTCATCATGCATATTTCATGTGCCGGATGCTCAGATGTTCTTTGTTATTGTACTAAGCAGCACCGCCATGCATCTCAGCGCAGCCGGAATTAGACAGAGAGGTGACCTTCCTAATATACTCTTGCAGACACAATAGCTCAGGAATATAATCTGACTTGACTTTCTATTATAATTCTGACGAGGAGCGGCTGATAGATACACATGCTGAGATCTCATTTTTAAACGGGTCCCTTCTATATGGTTTACTTTGTAATTGTTGAACTTGCCAGTCAGCCACTGATTGCCACACGCAGGTAGTCCTGAGTTTTAGCGCCCACTCTCCATAATTCCATTTTTTGAAGATATATTTTTATTGATTTCAGAGAGGAAGGGAGAGGAAAAGAGAGATAGAAACATCAATGATGAAAGAGAATCATGGATCAGCTGCCTTGTGCACGCCTCCTACTGGGGATTAAGCCCACAAGCCGGGCATGTGCCCTTGGCCGGAATCAAGCCCGGGACCCTTCAGTCCGCAGGCTGACGCTTTATCCACTGAGCCAAACGAGCTAGGGCTGGATATGCCAATTTTTGAAGAGAGAACTTTACAGTGTTATTCAAATGATGAGTATTTTTTCTGAAATTCCTTAGGGGCTAAGAAAATGGGATATTTATCTTGTGTAAGATGGAGACATTAAAACACTTATCGGCCGAGGAGCCCATTAAAAGACATTATTTTAGAAGAGCAAAATTTCTAGCTTAGTACAAACACGGCCTTGAGAAGGGACAGAGTTTTAAGTACCTGAAGTATTTCATGCTGTTTCAAAAGCATGCCTGCTTTCCGTTCAATCCATTTTAAAATACCACAGGCTCTATATCAAGTATGTGGGAATCTTGCCCTCATCACAACCCCATTTTGAGAGAAATCAACTGTGCATTTTATTTGGGGTTTCAGTCCCAATTTGGCTTAATCAAAGAGAATGCAATCAGACCAGCCAGTGTTGCTCAGTGGTTGAGCATTGACGTATGAACCAGGAGGTCGTGGTTCGATTCCTGGTTAGGGCACATGCCTGGGTTATGGGCTTGATCCCCAGTGTGTATCGGGCAGGAGGGCGCGGGGGGGCGGGGAGGAGTGTACAGGAGGCAACTGATCAATGATTCTCTCTCATCACTGCTGTTTTAATCTCTCTCCCTCTCCCTTCCTCACTGAAATCAATAAAAATATATTTCTAAAAAAAATGCAAACAGTTACCTTAATATGTCCTAAAGTAGAGCTTGGCCGACTTTTTCTCTAAAGGGCCAGATAGTAACTATTTCAGTCTTCGTGCCCACAGGTCTGTCACTAGTACTCAACTCTGATATGGTAGAGACAGCATCGAATCAAACTCTATTTATGGACTCTGAATTGGAATTTCATAGGATTTTTTGTTGTTGTTGTTAATGTTTACCCAAGGATATTTTTCCATTAATTTATTGTGATTTTTTTTTTTAAGAAAAAGTGGAAGGGAGGGGGAGAGACAGAGAGAGAGAAACATGGGTGTGAGAGAGACACATTGATGGGTTGCATCGCACGTGCGCCCTGACCAGACTGGGGATCGAGCCTGCAATCTAGGTACATGCCCTTGACTCACAGGGTTTTCACGTGTCACAAAATAGTCTTCTTTTATTTTCCCCAGCCCTTCGAAATGGCAAGAAGCATTCTGAGCTCATGGGCTGTGCAAAGCCAGGTGGCAGGCGGGATGGACTGCTAGCTGTCATTCACGACCCCACGTTTCATTGGTTCACTTATTTTAACAAATATTCACTGCGCTCCACTACATATAAGGTCCTATGAAGACTTCTCTTTAAAAAGATGCCATTTTCTTCCATAATGCAGCAAACCAGAAAGAAAACAATCTTTCTACCCGGCTGGTGTGGCTCAGTGGTTGAGCATCGACCCATGAACCAGAAGGTCACAGTTCAATTCCCGGTCAGGGCACAAGCCTGGGTTGCGGGCTCCATCCCCAGTAGAGGGCGTGCAGGAGGCAGCTGATTGCTGATTCTCATCACTGATGTTTCTATCTCTCTCTCCCTCTCCCTTCCTCTCTCCCTCTATAACAAAAAACAACAACATAATTTTTATTTTAAGAAATCTTTCTAAAGGCCCCCTGGAAGGCCCGCTGGGAAGTGATGACATTTCAGATCGCTTTTACTCTGTCTCTGTCCTGCAGCAGGCGATGCAGTCACAGCAGACACAAACACAGATATTTCATTCCTTCTATCCTCCCGGAGGCACAGACATCAAGAGGGCTGATCACAGAGGCGTGTGCCCAGGGGGAACACGGTGGCTGTGTGACCTGCCATCAGGCCCAGGCATGGCGCTCCAGGATGCCAGCCAGCCCCCCGGCCCGGGGCTGAGCCTGCCTGGATGAGCTATGTCCCTGCTCACAGCCATGCGCGTCTCAGGAGGGAAGTGGTTCCACATACTAACAGTGCGCCTCCCACCAGGCAGGAAAAGGCAGAGCTGCTCCCGATGCCTGTATTCCGGGGCCACAGGAAGGTTGGAGCTAGACTTCGCTCCCAAAGCGGGGGCACCCTGTGCCCTCCCCCCTGTGCCAACACCCTTGGCGATCAGATGCCCGGGGAGGACAGGCATGGCTTTCCAGCCAGCCGCGCAGGCTCCCTTGCTACGCCTGGACGCACGTAGGGCGACTCAGTATCTTAGGACTGAGGGTTTCCCAGGTTGCAGGCCTTTCCATGCTGAAACCGGGAAGGTTGGTCATCCTACAAGTCAGCTTCCTCTGTCTATTGCTCTATCTTCTTTTTCTTAAAATATATTTTATTGATTGTTTGCAGAGAGGAATGAAGAGGGACAGAGAGTGAGAAACATCGACGAGAGAGAAACATCCATCAGCTGCCTCCTGCACACCCCCCACTGGGGATGTGCCCGCAACCAAGATACATGCCCTTGACTGGAATCGAACCTGGGACCCTTGAGTCCTCAGGCCGACGCTCTATTCACTGAGCCAAACCCGTTAGGGCCTATTTCTCTATCTTCTTATCCTGCCCCTGGTTCTTCCCAGGATGCGGGACCAGCCAGCGCTGCTCTGTGAAGCGGAGGCCAAACAGGCTGGGGAGAGGGACCACGTCCGAAAAACCCCGGATGCTCCTCTCAGTGCCTGGCCCCGAGCACAGATGGGCTTTTGGTGATAAGAGCGCAGAAGTGGTAGGAGATGCCGTTCTCGGGTTAAAGGGTCCTGATGATTGATTGCATCCCTAATAGGACAGGCACAGCTTCCCTGGCAAAATGTCGAAAGACCCCTTTTGCCCCAAATGCACTGACCAGTGCGACTCCAGTAGGTCCCCAAAGAGATGCTAGGCCAGTGGTTCTCAACCTTCTGGCCCTTTAAATCCAGTTCCTCATGTTGTGACCCAACCATCACATGATTTTCGTTGCTACTTCCTAACTGTCATGTTGCTCCTGTGATGAATCGTCATGTAAAATATCTGATCTGCAGGATGGTTTTAGGCGACCCCTGCGAAAGGGTCGTTCGACCACCAAAGGGGTCGCGACCCACAGGTTGAGAACCGCTGTGCGAGGCTAACACTTTAACCTGGTGCCCATTAAGAATATCACATAACAAGTTATTTACACCTGCGATCAAATGAAACCAATCAATCCAACACATTTTAAACTGTCTTAGCTTTGGCCCCATCATCACTTTGCCTTTGGCCGATGACTTTAAAATTCAGTAATGAATTCCTCAGTCATGTTTGAAACATCAGGGAACTATACACTTTCGTTTCCGTGGGATTCCGTATGTAAATGACTCATCCCTTAAACTGAATGCAGGCATGGCATGTTGACCTCCTTGGTTATGGACTGTCCATGTGTTAGCAATTTTGGAAGGAAAAACACATGGGTAGGGTAAGAGAGATGGGAGTCAAAACCATTTTGAGCTGAAGTGCATGCATTCTGAATGTTAATGCAACACGGGGTGAGCGAAGGGGTGTTCTGTGTTTATGGAGCACGTGTCTTTTCATGTTAGAGTTCAGCGTCACCGGCATTTTCCAGGTGAATGTGTGTGTGTGTGTGGGGGGGGCGGTTCCGCCCTAACGGGCCCGGGCAGCACATCCTCTGCCCGGTGAGGCCTCAGCTGTGCAGCTGCCTTCTCAGCGGGACCCCGCACAGGAGCCTGTCACCCACCTGACCAGATCGATGACCCGCTCCCTCGGCGCAGCGCTGACTGACTCATCATTAATCATTACGATCTGATCTCCCGGGATCAGCTTGCCTTCCGAGGGGCCACCTGGAGACAAATGAGAGTGAAGCGCGGGTGAGAAGACCGTGGTTAATCGACCCAGTGTAGCCTCCTCTTCTCATCGTGGTTCACGAAGAGCAGAGGATGCCACCTGGGGCTCTGCTTCTGTCCTCAACCCTGGCTGCACGTTAGAAGGAACTGGGCTCTCTGGACCAGCCCGAGGCCTGGGTGCAATGAAAACAGAACCTTTTCCCCGCCAGTGTGGCTCAGTGGTTGAGCACCGACCCTTGAACCAGGACAGCCGTGGGCAAACTACGGCCCGCGGGCCGGATCTGGCCCGTTTGAAATGAATAAAACTATTGAAAAAAAAAGACTGTACCCTTTTATGTAATGATGTTTACTTTGAATTTATATTAGTTCACACAAACACTCCATCCATGCTTTTGTTCCGGCCCTCCGGTCCAGTTTAAGAACCCACTGTGGCCCTCGAGTCAAAAAGTTTGCCCATCCCTGAACCAGGAGGTCAGTGGCTCAATTCCAGGTCAGGGCACATGCCTGGGTTGCAGGCTCCATCCCCAGTAGGGGGCATGCAGGAGGCAGCCGATCCATGGTTCTCTCTCATCATTGATATCTCTCTCTCTCCCCCCCTCTGAAATCAATAAACAATATATTTTTTAAAACCATCATCAAATTCATTAAAAACAAAACACAAATGATGATCTTGTACTTGACTGCATAACTGAACACGTGACACCCAGAACATGGAACTCAAAGCGATTCAGTTGTTGTCCACCCAGCCAGCCACCTGGCACAGGTGGCACTGAAGTGGGGGCATAAACTCTCTCCTTCCTGGGAGTAAGAGAGAGGAAACAACCAGAACACGTCCCCACATTGTCAGGGACAATAGTCATTTCAAGCTGTGGAGCTGACAGTCAGCGCCCACACAGGGAATTCTGACAATCACACGGGAGACGTTTTCTTGCTGCTGGACAATATGCAGGCAATCACTCCAATTCAGTCAAACGAATGGTTAAAACATTCAAAATGTTGGTCAAATCCAGACACATTTTCAGGATAATTGTTTGAATCATAGATGCTAACTACTCTGATGCCAGAAGCACTCGCAGATGAATACGACATGCTCTTCCATTTGACCTATGCTTTTTAATCAGATGGAAATATTATTGTTTAATCAAGTGACTTGAATCAAAAATTCTGGCGGGAGCAACATAGAGTTCCTTCCAAGATAGGAAGTAGTGGCATACATCAGCGATTTGTCACCGGCCCTCTAGTCTGAAGGCCGCGCTGTCTGGCATAGACAATCTGGTCACGCCACTGAAATCACCGGGGACTTCAGCAGAGTCAGTTTTATGAGAGACACAGTTGATTTGACCAGCATTTTCACTCGTAAAAATGACTGGAGACAGTACTCTTTGACCCGTGTTTTCACTTTGTTCTACTCCTCTCAAAATTGTCTAGCTGGAGGTGTTAGCGTCTGCAGCTAAGGAGCGCTGGGGCAAGGAAGGGTTGAAGGAACAGTGAGGTAATGCAAGAAATTGAAAAGCTTGAAATCTTGAGGCAGCTCCCGGGAGAACCTGACAACCGAGATGTCAAAATAGCCCACTATCCCAAAACAGCCTGCCAATGTGATCGCACCTAGGAGAAAATATGGGTATCTACACACATATAATACTACACATATGTACATGATTCATAATATAGGTGTGTGTACGCACACAACTGTCTTCCATACTCATGCTCTGTGTGTACATGGATCATGCTCAACCCAAAGTAGGAGGCGCTCAGATTTGTTTTTTGCATGTTTTCTTCTATACTATCTACTACATTGTATTGTTATAAACCATATGTGTTGTTTTTATCATAAAAAACAACAAATCTTTTTTATTTTGAGGATAATATTCTCAGCTGCGTCCAGCTCAGCCACCCCACACAGACAACTAAAGTACAATCCACAGCTAATGAAATCGAAAGCTGGGCAGAAGAAGTCCGAAGTGGCGAGGCAGTGGTAGGAGGGAAAAGGAAACTTATTCTTCTCTGTGGGAGTCGAAAGTGGTTGACTTTTTTGGGGTGCTTGTCCTGGGGCATATTATGTCCAACTAGAGGCCCGGTGCATGAAATTCATTCACAGGTAGGGTCCCTAGGCCTGGCCGGAGATCAGGGCCTATCTGCAGGGTGATGGCACCTGCCTTGGCTGGCCAGGCACTGCTGATTGCCAGCCCCGCCCTCTGCCACCGCTGCTGGGCTGGGGGCAGCTCCTGCCTTGAGCGTCTGCCCCCTGGTGGTCAGTGCGCATCATAGCAACCTGTTGTTCTGCTGTTCGGTCGATTTGCATATTAGGGTTTTCTTATATAGGATAATAAAATATAAAAATTTAAGTCAAAAAAATGTATACTAGCTCACTAGTTGCTTTCATTTCCCTAAACTGACAGGCTCAGCTGGTCAAATATTGTAGAGTTTAAAATAATAATGATCATTATGGAATAAACATATACCTGGCCCTCTTCTAATGCATTTCTTTCTCTCCCTGGCCCAGTAAGGCAGATACTATTATGATGCTCATTCTCCAAATGATGTAGAAGAGTTACATTAAACTGAAAGGCAGGGAAGTAAACATAGAAGCTAAAAAATCTAATAAGGGGGCAGAGGCAGGGTTCAAAGCCATCAGACCCAGGCAGTCTGATGCTACAGCCTGTGCGCTTCACTACTGAACCCTGTTACTTATTTGCAAAATCCCAGAAGCAGCAAGTTTCCTTTGGTCTGAAGATAAATCCATCAGAGCCCGTTGAAGTAAGTACATAAATGTGTATAATAAATCATTACTAAAAAGAGCAGTTTCTAAAAGGGAAAAGACAGCCCATTGCATCTTTATATTCAACTGTGTTGATAGTGGAACATCCGGATAGTCCAAAGAGAATGTCTAAGCGAAGTCCTCCTCATTGGAGGAGACCAATGAGGCGAGCAGATTGTAGAATTTAAGAGATTTGCCACACACTCTATGGGCCAGTGTTCACTGTATGACCCACCGCCCCCCAATCTCAGTAGAGTGTCCAATAATCATTCCGTTGTGGGTCTTCAGGGTGGCCGCAGATGGGCTGCTCCAGGCCAGCCACAGTGGGCCTTTCTGTGTCGCACTGCAGACCAGGGAGTACTTAGCTCTAGGCTGTAGGCTGGCTGCCCCCCGAGTTCATTCTGGGGCTGAGGCTGAAGGGGGAGCAGCCCCTTGAGGGACATTCCTATGGCCATGCAGGAACCACAGAAACAAGCTCAAGTGTATTTCCAACCTTGGCTTATGGCATCCTTGCTAATATGCCATTGGCCAAAGTCAGTCACCTGGTCTCACTTAACAGCAATGGTGTCAGGTACTATCTTCTGCCCCTAGTGGGAAGGGAGGGGAATGCATCTGTGTCAAAGAATCCAACATCAGTGAGTAAACCCTACAGTAACTTCAACGCCGCTGCCTGCTTTTGTCACGGAGTTTGGCATGAGCTTCCAGAAATGCAGTAGGCGCCCGCCTCTGGCTATTCCTCTTCACCCACTCAGCAGTGGGTCGTTTCCATGGTACAAACGATGGATCAGTGTTTTCCTAAACGGAGCCATCGAATGGGTTTAGCAGTCTAAACCTTGTTTCCATCGCCATTCCTGTCCCTCTGGTGGTCTGACTCTGTCCACGTGCTGGGAAAATTCACTAGCCCCCCAGCCTGGAATGGACATTAAACTAGCTGTCACAGCCTGCAAGGAGACTCGGGAAAATAAACAGTAGGCATCCCTGCAGCGGTATGACGGGCAGTCCCAGGAGGCCGAGGGCTGGGGGGGCGGGCGGGGAGGGGGGCGCTTACCTGGTGTCACTGAGCGAACGACCACTGGCTTTTCACTCCCTGCCACGAAGCCGAATCCCAGGACGGGGTCCCTCCGCATCTCCACCTTCCGCGGGGCCGGGGGGATGATCTGGCAGCTGTCCAACCGGGGGTCATCAAATGGGATTGCCTGTGTCATGTGACTGTGGGAGAAACACACACAAGAGAGACGAGGCATCAGTGTCTGTGGGCTGTGGCCCGGTGATTTCAGCCTCTGCCTATTCACAACCTCCTACTCTGCTTGGTAGAGGAGCGGGAGAGAGAGACATCCATGTGAGAGAGAAACAAGGATCCGTGTCTCCCATTCGAGCCCTGGCCAGGAATCGAACCTGCAACCTTTCGGTGGGTGTTTCTCTGGCTCTTAAGGAAGTCTTCACTCAGGCGCATTATCCAAGGCAGCCTTATTTGAGGGTAGAGCTCTTAGTTAGAATTCTAGAAATCTGCTTAAAGCAATGGAAGCCAAGATTACATTGATTATTTCAGCGACACAGACTTAACTCACTATTTTCTCTCTCTAATCTTCTCAGTAAGGAAAAGCACATCATTTCGAAGGAAATACCTGGAAAGAGGCTACTCTATCTGCCATCTGGATGACATATCGTTCAGATGCAATGAAGAAAGACGGAGAAGGAGGGTTCTGCTGTCCTTGTGTGTAATTAATAAGAGTTAAGGAAAATCAATGGCAACCCTCCAGGGTCTGGCCTTTAGACACATCTCTCTGACTAGGGCAATCAAGTTCAAAATCCCTTTGAGAAGGAAACGTCTTTTCCACTTAGCAGCTTTGATCTGGAACGTTGGGGAACAGAGAGTGTTTGCTGAGATCTGACACGAGGGCCGCGTGCTGACGCTCATCTGTCACCCTAGTTCATCTTCCGAAAATCCCCTTCTAGGGGGCCCACTGACCCCACCCACCTCCTGTCCGCAAATGACAAGAGGAAGAATAACCGGCCAAGTTCACTCTTCTCAGGTGTGAGCCAGGTGCAATTCCCACCACATCTTCTCATTCTAAGCCAGCGGCTCTCAACCTTCTGGCCCTTTAAATACATACAGTTTCTCATGTTGTGACCCAACCATACAATTATTTTCGTTGCTACTTCATCACTGTCATGTTGCTACCGTTATGAATCGTCATGTAAATATCTGATCTGCAGGATGGTCTTAGGCGCCCCCTGTGAAAGGGTCGTTCGACCGCCAAAGGGATCGCGACCACAGGTTGAGAACTGATGTTCTAAGCGTTAAGTACTCGACCAGCTAGGTAATTTGCAAGAACAGCGCAAAATGAAACCGTGGGGCCCCTTGAGTGCTACCCCCAACCATTCTAGAAACAGCCAGGCTCACAGGGGAGGGGCTGTCTTAGGTGACATAGCAGGTGCTGGTCTGGGCCCAGAGAGGAGACATGGCTACCTTGGCGGAACACGTGCTTGGCAGGAGGGGGCCTGGGCAGACCTCAGGGGGGCAGGTCACGTGGAGAAGCATGGTCCTCCAGCCCAGCCAGTGTGGCTCCGTGGTTGAGCGTGGACCTATGAACCAGGAGGTCACGGTTCGATTCCCAGTCAGGGCACATGCCCAGGTTGTGGGCTTGATCCCCAGTGTGGGGCGTGCAGGAGGCAGTCGATCAATGATTCTCTCTCATCATTGATGTTTCTATCTCTCCCTCTCTCTCCCCCTTCCTCTCTGAAATCAACAACATATAATTATATATATATTAAATGTAATTATATAAAATAAATATATTTATTATTATATAATTATAACTTATTATAATTATGTAATATAATTATATAAGTCTCTCTCTCTCCCTTCCTCTCTGAAATCAATAACATATAATTATATATTAAATGTAATTATATAATAATAAACATATTTATTATTATATAATTATATATTATTATAATTATATAATATAATTATATAATAATTCTCTCTCTCTCTATACATATATATATATCAAAGAAGTATGGTAGTCTGAAGGACAGAACTCAAGACCCTGATTTAACCAGCAAAACCCATCCAAGAGTGAACCCCGGTGTCCAGGGTGGGAGCCTCAGACAGGGCTCCAGGCAGGGAGGGGCTGAGATAGAGGAAACACGTGGGGAAGTCAGGGCTGAGAACCAGGACAGCGAGAGGACCTCTGATGTCCCTACAGCAGCCCGATGGGCGGGAACTTGACCTCTGACATCGCCCCCTGACATTGATCCCTCTCAGGCCTGAAACAGGCAGGGCTGCGTGTGCCTGGGGGAGAATGGGGCCCCCTTGGGGTGGAAGCCCTCATTCCATTCTCTTGCCTCCTCTGTAAGAGGTCCAGCTCGGAGCCACCTTGGGAACTGAGTCTCTCCTTTTATCCCGGATGGAACAAAGGAAAAAAGGGAGGGGAGAGCCCCATTTTTGGAGCCTGGCCCCGAGCTCTGAGTTCGCACCATAGTCCATAGAACACATGCTCTACATGAGCACAGAGGTGAAGTGATTCGCTAATGGTCACATGTTGAAGAACAGAGCACGGAGCCCTGGTGGGCGGAACTGTCAATGCCAAGAGTAGAGAGGGCCTGGGGCGACGGCTCTGCTGCCATGGCCAGTCCTGTGAAAAGCTTCCAAGCTTTTCCGAAGTTGCCAGGCTTGGCTGCACATTACACTCACCCAGGAAGCGTTACAAAGTCCTAACGCCCAAGTTTCACCGCAGACCAACCACATCAGCATAGCTGAGGGCGGCAGCCAGGATCCATTCTTATATAGCTTTCTTTTTATTGTTATTTTTAAAATATATTTTTATTGACTTCAGAGAGGAAGGGAGAGGGAGAGATAGAAACCTCAATGGTGAGAGAGAATCATGGATCCGCTGCCTCCTGCACACCCCCTATTGGGGATGGAGCCCACAACCTGGGCCTGTGCCCTGACCGGGAATTGAACCGTGACCTCCTGGTCCATAGGTTGATGCTCAACCACTGAGCAACACCGGCCGGGCCAGGATCAATTTTTAAGAAGATTCCCCAGGTGATTCCAAAGTGGAGCAAGGTTTGGGGACCATTCTCCTGCCCAGGGAAGGCTGGGGTCCAGTCCCCCCTCTAGATTTTAAGAGGACACAAGCGATGAGCTCCTCTAGCATCTATCGGAGAGGTAAGTGAAAATACTGGAAGCATCTGTAGCTTCATTACCCTCTTGCCACTGCATGCTAGTCTGCAGTTTTTAATTCCCCATTCATAAACTCTCTATTACATCATTATTTTAGTAATACCCGGCACTTATTAAATACTAATTTCATGCTATGCATTTTACGAAATGCTTTCCATAGGTTAGCTCATTTAATTCTCCAAAACAACTTCATAATGCGCTCATTTCATTAACACCTATTTCTTGCACGCCCACTGGATTCTCAGCTCGGGGGATACACTAGGAATGCAAACAGAAATAATTTGTTCACTCCAGTGTTCCGACGCAGAGACTAAACTAATAAAGGAGCAGGATGTATGGCCTATCAGATCATTATCAACACGAAGGAGAAAAATAATGGGGGAGGAAGCGTAGAGAGCTGCTTGGGGAGGGGGAGGGGGGGGAGGTACCGCAGTGTGATACCAGGGGTCAGGGAAATGCCTGAGGAGGAGTCTTTCCGGCAGTGGGACCCCCAAGTGCAAAGGTCTGGAGGGGTCCCAGGCCTGGAATGAGCATTCGTAAGGGACAGCCCTGAGGCCAGTGACGGGGGAGGCTGGAGGCAGTGAGGGGGGATGGGTAAAGAAGTGTTGGGGGGAGCCCGGCCAGTGTGGCTCAGTGGTTGAGCATCGACCTATGAACCAGGAGGTCACGGTTCAATTCCTGGTCTGGGCACATGCCCGGATTGCTAGCTCGATCCTTAGTAGGTGGCATGCAGGAGGCAGCCAATCAATGATTCTCTCTCATCATTGATGTTTCGTTCTCCCTCTCCCTCTCCCTTCCTCTCTGAAATCAATACAAAAAAAAAGGAAGTGCTGGGGGAAGATCAAAGGTCACACAAGCTCTGGGAAGGACTCAGTGTATTGCTGTGAGTGAAGTAGAAGCCAATGGAAGGTTCTGTGTGAAGAACACAATAGCTGCTGTACTGAGAACAGACAGGAGGGGGCGCTGGTGGGCGCAGGGAGAGCACTGCAGGACCCACTACATCAGTCCTAAGGGAATAAATATCACGCTGGCTTGGACCAGGGTGAGGGTGGCAGAGATGGCAAGGAGTTGTTGGGTTTTTCATGTAGAGGCCATTGTGACAGAGCAAAGGGGGGGATTTCTATTCTGGAACCTTCTTCCTGCGCACACAGGGCGTCCGGTAAGGATCAGTCTGTGAGCACGTTGCCTAATGCAAGTCCTATGTGCTGATGTATCCAAATTACAGGAGACATTTCTCTCCAAGGAGCTAATACTTCCGCGTTTGCACAGAAAACATAGACATGCTTGGGTCTAGGGCCCAGTGGTCGCAAATTGCGGCTCGGCAAACCTCGCCTCGCGAGCCACATGCGGCTCTTTGGCCCCTTGAGTGTGGCTCTTCCACAAAATACCGACTTCTGCGCATGGGCCACGAAGTTTCAATCGCACTCTATATGTGTGCCCGCACGTGGTATTTTGTGGAAGAGCCACACTCAATGTGCCAAAGAGCCACATGTGGCTCGTGAACCGCAGTTTGCCAACCACGGGTCTAGGCAAACCTGAAGTCCGAGATGCTAGTTCAGAGTGAGACTTGGGAGCCAGACTCCCTGGATTTGGAGCTGTGCTCCACCACCTCCTAGCCCTCGACCTGTACAAAGTACTACATCACTCGGTGCCTCAGTTTCCACATCTGGAAAATGGTGACAATCATAGTAACAATCGCATAAGAAGGTCGTGAAATTAGATGAATGAATAAATGCAAAGCACTCAGCAAAATGTCTGGCTCACAGGAAGCAAAAAGCACTAGCTGTTCTTTTCATCTCTCGAGGTCCATGAATAACAAGGAATAGGTTTCAGACATCATCCACTCATTCAATCTTGTTAAAATATGAAAACAAACTCAATAACGTTTCAAATGCCTAAGCCCAATTCTCAGGGAGATGCCTCACAAAGGCGGGGTAAGCTCGGAGGCCTTCAATTGGAAAAATCAGATCAAGTGCGATGACACATTAAACACACATTTAAGTTGATATCCGTGAAG